GGTGGGGGGGGCGCACCCTCCCCCGCCCGGCTCGAACGGAGACTTGGGGTGTGGGGGGCGCCCCCTCCCCCGCCCGGCTCGAACGGAGACTTGGGGTGTGGGGTGGGCATGGGGGGGTCACACACCCTCCCCCACCCGGCTCGAACAGAGACTTGGGGTGTGGGGTGGGCATGGGGGGGTCACACACCCTCCCCCACCCGGCTCGAACAGAGACTTGGGGTGTGGGGTGGGCATGGGGGGGTCACACACCCTCCCCCACCCGGCTCGAACAGAGACTTGGGGTGTGGGGTGGGCATGGGGGGGTCACACACCCTCCCCCACCCGGCTCGAACAGAGACTTGGGGTGTGGGGTGGGCATGGGGGGGTCACACACCCTCCCCCACCCGGCTCGAACAGAGACTTGGGGTGTGGGGTGGGCATGGGGGGGTCACACACCCTCCCCCACCCGGCTCGAACAGAGACTTGGGGTGTGGGGTGGGCATGGGGGGGTCACACACCCTCCCCCACCCGGCTCGAACAGAGACTTGGGGTGTGGGGTGGGCATGGGGGGGTCACACACCCTCCCCCACCCGGCTCGAACAGAGACTTGGGGTGTGGGGTGGGCATGGGGGGGTCACACACCCTCCCCCACCCGGCTCGAACAGAGACTTGGGGTGTGGGGTGGGCATGGGGGGGTCACACACCCTCCCCCACCCGGCTCGAACAGAGACTTGGGGTGTGGGGTGGGCATGGGGGGGTCACACACCCTCCCCCACCCGGCTCGAACAGAGACTTGGGGTGTGGGGTGGGCATGGGGGGGTCACACACCCTCCCCCACCCGGCTCGAACAGAGACTTGGGGTGTGGGGTGGGCATGGGGGGGTCACACACCCTTCCCTGCCCGGCTCTAACGGTGACTTGGGCCTTGCCCCCTGCCCCAGCTCTAACGGTGACCCGCAGGGGTGGGGAGGGGCCCTCCTGCAGCTGGCCCGCTGGGGCACATTCTCCAGAGGGGAGCTCAGAGGGGCTTGTGCTTTCCCCAGTGCTAGGCCCTCGGGCAGCCCTGAATCGGCAGCAGGAGCCAGGCGCTGCGGGAGGGGAGGGGCAGCGGGGCCCTGGTGTGAGTTTTGTGGCCGATCCCCCTCGCTGGGCTCGGGGCCGGCTCTGCTCTGCTCTGCTCGTGGCCTCTGGTTCTTGCCCAGCAGTGAGTGTTTTTATAAAAAGTCCCCCAGTCTCCTCGTGCGGTGTGTGCCGTCCCTGCCGCCGGGCCCTGGCACCTGCAGTCAGTCGCTCGCCACGCCCGGCTGTGCGCCTCATCCCCCCTGCCCATCTGGCTGCTCTCCGGCGGGAGCGAGGCGCCTGTGGCCCCTGTCTGCCTCCAGCCTAAGCTGGAGTGCTGGGGCCTTGTGCCTCTCCCAGGCAGGGGAAGGGGTCTGGCCTTCCCTGGGCTCCTGCTGCAGGCCTGAGCTGGCTGGAGTCTCGTGGCCACCACGGTACCTCGAGCACAGAGGGTGGGTGCAGCTAGAGCAGAAGGGCCCGGGGCAGAGGGCTGCCGGGGAGGGTGCAGGAGTCATGGGTGGGGGTGGAGAGGCCCAGGGGGCTGAGGGGCGGCTGCTGCTCCTCCCCTGCCTTGCAGCGAGAGGGAAATTCGGACTGAAGGGGGGGGGAAAGTCCGCTTCTGCCCTCCAGGAAGCACAAGCTGGGCTTTCCCTTGCAGCCCTGCCCAGCGGGGTCCCAGCCGCAGCCCCTCTGCTCTCCTGAAAGGGCAGAGGGAGGGAGAGGCTGGGGCAGCCCCAACAGTGGCAGGGACCTCCCAGCCAGCCCCGTTCTCCCCTGAGCAGGATGGCCTGCCCCATTTTCCCAGCAGCTGGTTGAGAGCAACAGGCCTGGGCGTCCAGGCACCTCCCTGCTGGCTCAGCCCCCAGCCTGAGGGAGCTGCCCCAGTGCTCCTGGCTGCAGGGGCAGGAGCCTGTGCTGGGGAGAGGGGGGGAGGTGGTTGGGCCCCTTTCTCCCATCCCCCTGCTCCATGCTTCCTGGTGGCGCTCGGCTGTGCCTGGGCAGCCTCCCATCTGGAACCATTGCCCCAGCTCACACGCAGGTCTCTGCTCCAGGGAGGGGCCACAGCGCTGCCCGCAGAGCCCTAGGGGTCCTGGCGAAGGCGGGTGACCAGCGGACAGGCCCTCGCCGGCCCTCCCGCTCTCAGGCACTGCTGCTGGGCTGGAGGATGCCTGTTGGGCCAGCCTGCGTCCTGCACACGGCTTGGCTGGCTGGGCCAAAGTGGGAGCCGTTTGCAATGCCCGTGTGGAGCCGGCGTGCCCCCGTGCAGTGGAACAGAACCCTGCGCGTGAGGGCAGGCCTTGCTCTCCCCAGCAGCTGCGCCTGGGGCAAGTCCCCTTCTAGGACAGACATGGACACGGAGACAGAGCTACGCCCTCCCCCGAGGACACTGAGTGGCCCTAGGCACGGCGAGCTAGAGCCTGGCCCGAGACAGGGCCAGAAGGGGGGGTTGGGCTCT